AGATTATTATTGTTGATGAAGAGTTTAGGCTGAAAGGGAAGTTTTTTCTGACAAGAAGTAAAAATAACAAAGTTGGATTTACTGACATTTAAAGTTAACTTGTTAGCACTTAACCATTCATTAACTTTAATTCATCCGAGGTTAATAGTTTTTTCTAGATTTATAAGATCTTTATCATAATAGAATAGATTTGAGTCATCGGCAAAAAGATGAATATCAAAAATTTTAGTAGAGTTTGAGAAATCATTAATATACAAGAGAAACAGCAAAGGGCCTAAGACTGAACCTTGAGGAACACCACAGGAGATAGGAAGATAATCAGGAAGATAATCAGGGTTGGTGTCTGTTAATAAGATAGGATTTAAACCAGTCTAGCCAATGCCGCTTATTCCATAGTTAGATAGTTTCTTGATTAGGATTTCATGGTTTACAGTATCAAAGGCCTTACAAAAATCTAGGAATATACCACAGCAATAAATTCCTGAATCAATGGCTCTTTGAATTTTATCAGTAATTAAGAGAATTGCATGAGAAGTGTTATGAAGAGAACGAAAACCAAGTTGCTTAATTGTAGAGGCAATCACTCTTTTCAAAGAAGGACATCAGTCTTTTGTACATAAGTTTTTCAAGAACTTTACTAAAAACAGAGAGCAGTGATATTGGACGATAGTTTGAAGTCAGAGAACGAGACCAGAGACAATAACCCTAACCCAGAATAGAATACATCCTGCAACAACAAGCAAGACCCGGGGCTCCGTTCACACGGGACACGAATTTGCAACGTCCCMTGTGATTGGTTAGGTTTAGAGGCGAGAAGGGGAAAGGTCATTGTTTTCTATTGTTCTACACACGCGTGCCTTCCAATAGGATCATCTTGCAAATTCGTGAAGGACGACCCCTTGAGCTATCCGTGAAAAAAAACTTCGTACGCCTAGCGGTGCAAATTTGAATCCGCTACCTTGTGAACAGAACGTATTTGATAAAAATTTAAAGAGACTGTTCCGCGTAAACAGTACGTACAGGTCAAATATTCGTCCTGTATATCGTGTAAACACTCTCAGTCTTCTTTTAAACTTACTTTAGGACTATCAAAGCTGATGAATTCATTGGTCAAATCTACGATATCTATGAACGAACAAGAAAGGAGGGAATATCACAGGTTAGTGTAGAGAAATAGGGGCATACAGAAACATGTTTGGTAAAATGCCAGGAAAATTTCCCAGGCTATTTGATGTTATATCATTATACGAAAATCATACTCCTAGCTGTCACTCTACAGCTTCCAAGATCAATTTGTCACTCGATATAGCTAGTAATTGATTCATTAGAGATCAAATTAGAATGTGAGAGTTCGTCAATTAAAATTTAACCCAAATAAAATTGATAAAAGAAAAGAACGCGATTGTTAGGATGAAAAATAGAATTCATCGTGAACAATCGTAATAAGTCGTACTTATTCATTTGTCTCACGATTGAGGGTCCTTTTAAGAAGGGATCGCGTCGTTTTGACTGCAAACTGCCAGTCTTGGGAATCAGGTGATGGTGTAGACTGGATGGTGTTCGTCGGAAAATCTTTGCTGTAATACTCCAGTTTCGAGTTCTCTGTTGCTCAAGGTTAGCCTCGATTTTGTGTAGAATATTCATGTRTTCCACTGAAGGTCCATGGAATTTCAAAGTGTTTGTATTGTTGAAGTAAGCTTGAGCCGTTATGACTGTGACTGGTTAACACAAACATTATTTAAAACACATTATCATTATGCTCAAGGTTTTCACAATGTGTATTGTAAATTTGATGTCTCATAATGACTACTGTTTAGTACTACAAGTTAAATCAACACCTCATGCTAACCACCTCTTATAATAGACCCTTTCGACACGGTTCCCGACGCCATATTGCTTGAGGGGCAAGATTACTAAGAAGCGGCGGGGAAAGAGATACGTTTTTCGTTATTTTTCCATTCCGAGGTAAATTTTAGAGACCAAACTTTGTCTGTAGATGGAGAATCTTCTGTTCAATGTTTTGTGACTTTTTTGAGCTGATCGCGTCATTCTTGTCGAGGCAAGATTTTTTACGGTCAAATTGAACTAGTATGATGGAGTCTTAGTCGCAAAACTCGCAAACCCCAAAGCCTCCGTCTCTCTATGAACCAGCGTTATGCTGGCTSCATCGGCTCAAAAACAGCACACAGAACATTGAACAGAGGATTCTCCGTCTACAGCAAAAGTTTAATCTCGAAAATTCCTCAGAATGGAAATATAACGAAAAGCTTATCTCTTTCCCCGTCGCTTCTTAGTAAACTTGCCCCCCAAGCAATATGGTGTAGGAAACCCTGAAAGGGTCTATTGTAAGCTACTTTGATTACTGCAATTTTCATAAACATGCAAACTCTGTGTCGATCTTCGAGCTGCACGCTGAAATGTGTTTTTTCCGCTGCCGACAATCAAACATAATCAGTCAGTACCCTTCATATTTTTGACTTAGATTCTAAAAATCTCCTTTTTGGTTTATTTGCAGCCGATAGAAGTTGGCATAGTCCGAGCAGACTACATGTTGGAAAGTGACAAACCAACTGTAAAAAGTGTCAAAGAATGCAATGAAAACATGAGCGTCAAGCAGGTTGAGATAAACACAATGGCGGCAGGAGCTGGCAGTAYGGGCTGCCAACTRACAAAACTTCAYCGGTGAGCAATTATAATAAGATTACGATATTTCAAGGTAGACGCTTAACCTTTTACACTAGCCCCTCTCGATATATATTGACGAGATACGATTCAAATTTATACTTATTATTTAATTATCTATGGGAGATTATCAGATCTAATTTTAGAGCGTGGTTCCACAAAGGCGCCCGCAAACCCTCTGTCTCATCCAGTTAATCATTTATATTTCTGTGATGTCACTCATTTAAAAAGAAAAACAGATGTAATAAAAATTTTAAATACTTAAATAAAAAGATAATAAATTCACACTTAAACACTTCAAAGTAAAGCGTGAATGCATAAAAATCGTGCCTCAAAGTTTCAGTGCAAASAGARGTCTTAAAAAGGAGCTAGGATTTTTTTACAATATGCTAAAACATTGTCTTTTAAGAGTTGAAAGTGCATAATCTAAGGCATGACTGAGACAATTTATAGGGGTAGTGAAAAATAGGTTTGAAAACAAGCTAGTCACAACAAACTGCTACAGGAGACTCATTAGAGGTAAATAACTCCACTAACATGGTTTAAGACTTGTTTGCTTAGTCATGTGACTATAACCCTAACTTGACCCTAACTTGGGGTTAGAGTGCAAAAAGTGTGGTCACGTGACTTCTTTGCATTTCTTGTTTTAAACTCACATCAAAGTCTTTTAGCTGAAGACGAAGTCAGTGGAACAGAAAGCAGCTATAAAGCAATTATACAGTAAAACAATATGATGGTGATAGTGGGGGTGATGATAATGGTGATGATGGTGGTGATGGTGGTGGTGATGGTGGTGGTGGTGGTGATGGGGATGATAGTGGTGATGATGATGGTGGTGGTGATAGTAATGCAGTACTAACAATACATGCGAGTATACCTATTTAGATATGGGATGTGTTAAAAATGGAGAGCTGTCCATAGGAGTGGACAGCGGTATACTGGCACGTAAACAGTTCCGCAACGCGTCATGTGGGTGGGTGGGTGNTTACACTAGCTCCTCTCAATATATATTGACGAGATACGATTCAAATTTTACTTATTAATTAATTATCTATGGGGGATTATTAGATCTAATTTTAGAGGTCTAAACCATGGTTCCACTAAGGCATCCGCAAACCCTCCCTCTAACCCTAACTAGGGRTTAGAGTGCAAAAAGTGGGGTCACGTGACTTCTTTGAATTTTTTGTTTAAACTCACATCAAAGTCTTTTAGCTGAAGACGAAGTCAGTGGAACAGAAAGCAGCTATAAAGCAGTTATACAGTAAAACAATATGATGGTGATGTTGGGGGTGATGATGGTGATGGTGATGGTGGTGTTTGTGGTGGTGATGATGATGGTGGTGATGGGGATGATGGTAGTGATAGTAATACAGTACTAACAATACATGCGAGTATGCCTATTTAGATATGGGATGTGTGAAAAATGGAGAGCTGTCCATAGGAGTGGACAGCGGTATACTGGCACGTAAACAGTTCCGCAACGCGTCATGTGGGTGGGTGCGTGGGAAGTCGTCAAGTCAAAGGCGTCGTAGATGAGAGTGACACAAAAGGGAGTGTTCACGCTAATATATACAGGGCAAGGCAYGATGGGATATCTATTGTTATGTAAATACTCGCTATTATTTCAAGTACTTAGAAAAGTAATAACAATACTATCCCGTCTTCGCATTCGACAATACATTGTCAATTTATAATAGAAAACTTGCATTTATTGAATAACATTATTTCCTTTGCTTTATTTCTCTTTTTCTTAATTTCTTTCTTTATCGACTTATTTTTCTAGTCTTTGATTTCAGTTATCTTGTTGGGATGCTAAATCAAGATTTTTCAGTTATATCTCAAAAGGTATTTGGCGAGGAGATTTTCTATTTTCATTTTATTTTGCCTGTATTCTTCTGGGAATACTGAGAACTTACTATTCAAAAGTGGTGGGTTTTGAGAAGCAGACTCGCTGAATTTAATTTTTATTTTCGATGCAAACCAACAACAGCTACCAAAAGAAATAAACAAAAACGAATTTTTTTTTAGTAAAGCGACAACAATAAAACGAAAAAAACAACATCAACAAAAACAAAACAAAACAAAACAATAAAAAAGGACTAAAATATAACCATCATCTTAAGGTGGGATATGAACTCTGCACTTAAAAATTCAAGAAAAAAAGTCAATTCCATTGTGCCATAACCCCAGACATCCGAAGAGCTGAGGCGTCGTATCTGTGGACTACGGACCTGACGGCAATAACCCAGTCAATAGTATAAAAATGATCGTTTCTAGGGCGAATGCGATTTTATCCCGAATTTCTCACCTTTTGTTTAAACTTTCTTTTGTTCTAAATTGAACAAAACAAAAGCAAGTCATTCGGGATATGCCATTGGGTGTACGAATTACGCAAGAAAATGTTTTTCTAGCCTGAAGGCATCAGGGGAGAGACTAGCCGGCCCCCAGACCATATCTACAGTTAATCCCTTGTACTCTGCCAAGCACGGAACCATTCAGTATTGAGCTACGTACAAGGAAGAACGTAAAGAAAACTAAAGTTGAAGGCCTATACTTATTTACATGATGTTATTATAGTGACTTGGCTCTAAAAATATCAAATTTTATTTCATTATAGTCCGTCAATTTTAGTTTTCTTTACGTTCTTCCTGGAAGCTTGGTAATGGTATCATAACGACCCCGTACCGTGGCTCAATTGCTGGTTTTCAATCATTCACAAGAGAATGAAATAACAAAAGACACGGCGGCCATGTTGGATGACATAACAAAAGAGACTAATGAAGAATCTTTTGTTAAATTCCTCCAACATGGCGGCTGTGATCGTCAATAAAACATTTCTGCTTTAAGTTTTGTAATACTGTGTTTTTCTGAACAGATTCCTAATAATACAGCAGTGAGTGGAATAGGTGAAATCCTGGCTCAAGCATGGGAGATATACGGATCCAAAAGGTAATAAATAGCCTTGTTAATTATAAATATCCTAATTTTGAATTGCCTATTGCTTAACGTTAAATTTGTGTAGTATATTCACTTGTTTCAGTAAATGTCCTTGGTGTGCGCGTTTAGGAAGGGGAGTAGTAATTTTATCTTAAAATGGGGATGGGTAAGAAGTTATTTTTGCACAGTCCCTAACTTCGTACACGTAAAAAGAGCAAGATAACAAAACAAAAAAAATCAGTGTCTTAGAAATGTAACGATCCGATTTCCGATCGTCTTCCTCGTGTGTTTCGTTGTGGATTCTTAAGCTCCCTATTACTTTATTAACCAAGCCTATGCCTAAGTAAATAACTCTTAGTTTGACTTATTATTTACTACGTTCATACCGTTTCGTATTCTTCGATTGTACGTTATTACGTTATAGCGGACTCTAGGGGGAGATGGGTGCCATTTAACAAAGATTTCTCATTTAGTATTGAGTATTGTTAAGAGCACCACAATGGCCGCCATGCTTTTGTCTTTTAACTCTCTTGGGAATGCTTGCAACCCATCAATTGCTAAAGTGTATTATTATTATTTTTCCCCCAGCGCAATTATATTGATGACAACGTTTGACGAGGACGTGGCAAAGTACGACCAAACATTAACGGAGTACTACCTGCACGAAAGGTTATTAGTTTTAGTGATATCTATAATAATGAAATATCGTCATCTTTAAAAAGGATACCTAAAACAGAAAGCATAAACGTTGAATACAAACAATTGCCGCTCACAATAGACCCTTTTTGAGTTCCAAATTACCGCYGTGTTTCTTGATTACAGACTCATTTACTCAGGCTTAGCCTCGATTTTGTGAAGGATATTCATGTGTTCCAGTCAAGGTCCGTCAAGTTTCATAGTTTTCGTATTGTTGAAGTTGTGCATTCTTTACTTTACCGTTGGTATTTGTGAATATTTAAGCACTGATTCGAGGATAAGCCTGAGTAAATGAGTCTGTAATCAAGAAACACAGCGGTAATTTGGAACTCGAAAAGGGTCTATTGTAGCTAATAAGCTACATGTTGCACGGGTAAAACAACACTTTATAGAAGAATATTTAGAATATACTATCGACAACGATTTTCAACAATGCGTGTTCTTTAATGTTCTCGTTCTAACTAAACTCAACTTAGATATCATATTACAAGTAAGACTTGAGTAATAATACTAGGGGAGGGGTGGTAACACAAGTGACGTCGAAAACATTTGCCGTCCACTGTTGTTCACATAAACTATATATATGAACTCTATTTTCCTGCTAATCGAGACAAATTGTCAAAATAATACGTGGAAGATGAAACATGAGCTAAATCAAAGTCGTCCATATAAACAACCGGTGATGATTATGGGACGTCCTTATCATTTCATTTGATAACCTAACTATATTTTCCATAGAGTTCCAAGGATTAAGCTAATTAGAAGAACGTACGAAGAGGTGCACAAAACCGCCAAACTAGTTGACAAGAAGCTTTTCATGTAAGTATGACAAAAAAGACGAGCAGTCAGAAAGTTGTTGGTGTACAAAATCATGGACTTTATTGTAATGCCAAACTTCAGAAAAGCATGTTTAAAATTCTTAAGACAAATTTGACTAAAATTCCTAGCAGTGACTATATAGTTTAACAAGATTCGATAAGAATTCTAAAGACTCAAAAATATGATCATGGCGCATTGCATGTTAAGCGCATTTTTTGGAATTACAACATTGCATCGCATGAACACAATGTTGAACTAACCTGGCATCCTTTGCAATGCAGCAATCGTTTCAAGCAAATTTGCCTTTTTTTAATCAATAGGTTGTTGCATAAACAAACGCCGCTACTTGTGACATACCTTGAATAATCTCAGGCAGCTTAACATGCAACAAATGCATTGCTACTTCTAGCCTTAAAGGTATCATCATCTACCCGATGTCTTTAGGACCAAATTGAATGATACGATTGTCTATTCAAGATCGCGTTAGATTATCTTTCTTACAGGGAAGGCCAGGAAGTTGCTGTAGTATATCATAGATATGGTATACTTCCAGGAGAATACAAAACAGAAGATGTAAGTCCAAGTGCATTCAATTATCAATCTACCACGAAACTAGCACAGTTATATAGCGATTTAAACTTACAGACTTGCCATCTAGCTCGTGATAGGAAAAGATAGAATTAAAATTTTAAAAAAGATAAAAAAGTTTGTCAAAAGTGTGATAAGTTCGGAATAGAAAACGTGCGCGCGTGCTGTGTGTAGCTATAAAGCACGCGGGGGCTGGCAGAACACAAGAGAAGTATTAGGAGAARCACGATGCGTAGCAGGTTCTGTGTGGTCTCATAAAGCATGCGCGCGCTCCCAACAACATTTTAATGTTTATTATTTATTCTTTTGTAAGGCTTGGTCTGCAAGGCTTCTTATAGAGAGATCTCTAGCTATCAAATGCCCAACTATTGCAAGTCAGTTAGTAGGGACGAAGAAAATCCAGCAAGTCTTGGCAAAACCTGGAGTGGTTGAAAAGTATGAAATTACACCTTGTAATTTATAGRAAAAAATGCTATTAGATTCGTTATATTACTCAACAAAATTACTCGATTCTGATTGGACAAGAGGAGTACAATCAAATCGTTAATAGTGTACTCTGTCAGAGTCTCATTTAAGTTGCTCAGTTTTGTTAAGTATATTATAGATACTCGCCTAATGCTCGTCCACCCGGTTAGCTCAGTTGGTAAGACTGTTGTGCGGGAGGTCGTGGTTCAAGCCTCGGCCGGACCAACACTCAGAGTCTTAAAATAACTGAGGAGAAGGTGCTGCTATCTGCAAATGGTTAGGCCTTCAAGTCTTTTCGAATAAGGCCTTTAAACCGTAGCGGTCCTGTCTCCCAACCCTTTCTAACCTGCATGCATTAAATGGGGGACAAAAAAGAACCTGTTGAATTATTTGTATAAGAGCGGGGGATTGTCTCCCGAATGAACAGCCTATTCCTGTCTGGAGGCATAACACTATTGTACTAACAAATCACTCATGATTGTAAGCTGCACGGTTGCTAATAGCGCCTTAATATGCAGCCAATAAAGTCCTCCACTGGTCGTAAAATATAAAATAAAATAAATGAAGGGAGGAACCGAGGCTCCTCAAGCCCACTCCTAACTCTGCTCATGAATAACGCTTGCTTTTGAATTGCCTTTACCAGATACATATCAGATAAGGCTACTGTACAGCGACTTAGAAGGACATTCACTGGCCTTTATTCTCTAGATGAGGTAAGACATCTTCTATAGTCATGCATTCCTCAGTGGGAGACTGAGTCTTTAAGAGTGTTATAAAATAAATAAAAGTTGTCTCTGGCTTCAAATCTCTATACTTATTGGACGTTTCGGCGTCCAAAATGTATTTATTATCAGTCAAGATCTGTAAAAGATAGGAAATGTATAAACTTTGACTGAAAATAAATTTCATTTCATTTCATTTAATCMTATTTCACACCACCTAGAGTTTACATTACAGTTCTACATTTTTACAATAAAGGTTTACAATACAAAAATTTTATACAATTACATATATATAACAAAACAAAAAACAAAAAGAACAAAAAAATCATGAATATTTACAATACAGTATCAGAAAGATTATCAAAGCTATCATTTACAAAGACTCAGCTATAGTAATAAATCGAATAGTAAACTCAGGGTGGCAGACACCTCAAGAAGAAACCACAGGCTTATACTCTCGAGGTGTCTTTTTAGCTTGGTAATATATAGTATCAAATTAGAGAAAAGAAAGGAGGATAAAGGCATGCAGTTTTAGCAAATTCAATTAAACAGAATAGAATAGAATAGAATTGAAAAATTAAACGAGCCTTACCTGTAAGGTGAAGTTTGATTGTGATTCTACCAAATCCAAGGTGACGCGCTGAGGGTTAGCATGAGATGCACACGTGCTGCCGTGGATGCTCAGATTTTCAAATGTTGTGGACACGATATAGAGAAAAAACGGGTAAAAAGCACGGGTGGGAAAACAGAATAACTCTAAGGGAGGGCATGTTAACCCTCAGCGCGTCACCTTGGATTTGGTAGAATCACAATCAAACTTCACCTTACAGGTAAGGCTCGTTTAATATTTCAATTCTACCAAATCACGGTGACGTCACTTCCGATTAACATGAGACTTTAAAGCAATTATTGTGGACACAACCACTATTGACAAACAAAACAAAACTTTATTATGACAATAACAATTTATCTTAATACCGCTGCAGCAAAATCAGTAAGCACAGGTTTATTATAGAATGTCTGGAAAGTTGAAACTTGAG